GCACAAAATATTGCCTCCGTGTGTGTTAAAATCTACTATCGGACATTAGGCTAAGGGATATTTATCTGCTGATATTGGATATATGTTTCCACTTGTTTTAAGTCATAGATCATCACTAATTTAAAGAGATGTTGATGTATCTTGTCAAAGGTTTAACCCTTTAAGAGCACATATTGGAGTGCGTTGCTGTGTGCATGTAGCAATATACAAATTGGTACGGAATTATATTGTGTGACATCATTTAATTATTGGCTTATTGATGTTAAGTGAGATTAAATGGAGCTCAAATGGAGACTCCTACTTCTATTGTCAACAACTGTGTAGTTTGTTTCTATTTTTGTTTCTCCTTGGGAATGTTAAGCCTCTGGTATTCCTCAAAACAGGCTTAAAAATAGGCCAAAACAGGCTAAAAACAATAATAAATAAAAAAAAATGAATAAATGCACTGATGAATGCATGTTTGTATTCTACAACAATTGTACAATAATATGTGTGTCTCATGTATCCATACATATATATATATATATATATGAATAAATAAATAAATATAATATTGTTATTTTTATTGCATTATTTATTTAATGCTATTAGTAAATGTTTTTGTTTGTTTATTTGTTTGTTTTATAAATATAATTCAGCATAAATTAAATGCGGTACAACTAATTAAACGTAAACAATATTCACCTCTCGATTATGCACCATTTATTTCTATATGAAATAATACAAATATTACAAAAAAGTTGTATTAAAATTACTATCAATTAATACAGTTTACGTTAAAAGGGTATTTAAAATAACTGTGTTCCCTATTTGAGTATTTTCAGACATCATAATTTAATTTTATAATTAGACATGATCTATATGTTGTAATAAAAAATGCTATGTATTTTTGTGTTTTTCGTATTTCCCATTAATTTCCTATATGGAACCTTATCACTAACGTGAATTTGTTTTCTTCTTCTTCTTTTTTTTTTTTTTTACATTTAGCCTTTTCTAATCATGCCATGATTTTTTTGTGTGTATTTATATAGCAAGTGCATGGCATTTTGTTGAAGTAAAAAAATAAATAATCTGTCTAAAATAACTGAAGTCCACCAAAAGGTTAAGAAAATTATTTGCGACAAAGATGATGCATCTTCTCTGTTACGTTTTTTTTTTTTGGTTTCGTTTTCTTGGCTTTAAAAAAACTAACCACAGAGCAATACACATTTTCTTCTGGAATTGTCGACATACAAATTAATGTGGATTGCATAGCTCATAAATTCTTATGGGAAAAAATTTAGACGAAGTATGTTCATATTGACTTTAAATCACAGACTTTTTTGTCTTTGGCAAATACGAGACTGAGATCTCTCTCACTTTTTTTGCTTCATATTGTTATTGTCTTGTTTAGTTCATACAGGGGTGAGGAAAAGGAGGATGAGCTTCAGATTAGACTGCAGGAAGTCTTGATATTATGTGTCTTCATCTCCAACACACCTCAGGTGTGTGTGTGTGTGTGTGTGTGTGTGTGTGTGTGTGTATGTGTGTTTCCTTTTTTTTCTTTTTTTTGAAAACTGATCATATTTTCATACATTTGATTATGATCAAACAACTAACCAGATGCGAATAGACCACAGAATCCACTGCCTGTTTGAAAAATAGCTTATTCTTATTTCCTTTCTCTCTTCCTTTCTTCCCTCCTCTGCTCTGTCCATTTCATTCCACTGCACTGCCCATA